ACATGTAAATAAATTAAAAAAAACATTAATTTGGGTTTATCTCCTGTGTCAGTACTTGTAATAGCATTTTATTTAACATCTCATTGCAGTATAAACTTTATCAGACAAGTTGCTAAACTTACATTTAAAAATGAATTCTTTGGTCTGTTACACAGTAACTATGTTACACAGTAACTATGTTCTCCAGTACCTATGTTCCACAGTACCTATGTTCCCAAGTACCTTTGTTCCCCAGTAACTATGTTACACAGTAACTATGTTACACAGTAACTATGTTCTCCAGTACCTATGTTACACAGTACCTATGTTCCCAAGTACCTTTGTTCCACAGTACCTATGTTACACAGTAACTATGTTCTCCAGTACCTATGTTCCACAGTACCTATGTTCCACAGTAACTATGTTACACAGTAACTATGTTACACAGTAACTATGTTACACAGTAACTATGTTCTCCAGTACCTATGTTACACAGTAACTATGTTACACAGTAACTATGTTACACAGTAACTATGTTCTCCAGTACCTATTTTACACAGTATCTATGTTACACAGTAACCATGTTCTCCAGTACCTATGTTCCACAGTACCTATGTTACACAGTACCTATGTTTCCAAGTACCTTTGTTCCACAGTACCTATGTTACACAGTAACTATGTTATCTGGTGTTAATAGTAAAAATCATGAAAGATGCTTAAATGTTCTTTAGAACAAATGAAAAAAATACTGAATTACAATGTAGACAATGTACTGGGTAACAGGGATATGTGTACTGCAGGAACTTAGTGGATTCAGCCAACATAGATCCTGAAGAATGTAAGTACCCAGAAGAATAGGAATGACCCCATTTTTAGTGCAGGACAAGTTAGAGCAGGATTAAACCATTTTAAATGTTGGGCTTTTAGAATTGGAGCTGTACTAAAATGCTCATATAGTCAAAGGATTGCTGAAATCTCAGTTTTGAACTTTTATGATTTTTTTTCCACATAGTGTTTTCACAAATCTGTATTCAGTGTAGAATAATGTAACCCAGGTGTGTCAAGACCTTTTACTGGTCCAAATACTGTAAATTCTGTGAAATACCCTTTTATCCAAACAGTGATTCTGAAACTTTGGAAGTCCTGTCATTTCTACTGCAACATACTTTTTATTGGATTAGAAAGTTATGTGAATCAGTTTGTGTATCTTAGTTAAAGTATCCTTGATCTACCCACTCAATCAATGAGATGATTTAGATGTGTATTAGTCCAAGTACCGTACAACACTTTACTGTATGTGGTGTTTGAGACACGTGGTACCCAGGTGTGACTGAACCCACAGGATACATACTTCTTCAGTGACTGGGAGCTCAGGGACCTGGCAGGATTGTGATTGGTCGGTGGACGGGGCAGCATGCATGACACAAACCAGGCAGAGCGACCATTGAGATTTGGACATTAGAGCATGCCTCATTATGTACACGGAAGACATGTAAATAAGAATGTAGCAAAGAAAAACAAAAAAAGCAAACATTTTTAGATTCGTTCAGGGGAACCATGTTGATTTTTTTTCGTTGTAATTTACCTTCTATTAAATACAATCTTAGTTCACTTTAACTGTTTTTATTCTTAATAGTTGAATCATTTCATGACATTTTCAGCTTCCAGTGACTTCAATTCTTATTATTTCTAGACAAAACTCCACCTCTCCAGGCTCTCTTCCACCTGCTCCCTACCCTCACTGCAAATCAAAGTGTCGTCTGCATAGAGCAATCCACTCAACGTACTCAGTGCTCAAAGTGGAGGGGGAAAAGTGTGGGTACTGTAACTGTTATCAGAACGTATTTGGCCAAATCAGAAGTGGTTTTCAACCCCTTGTTTTCAACTAATGCATTATGGGTAGTGTATTATAAGGTTCTGGTGTAACAGGTGTATAAGGAGTTGAATTATGCTGCCAATAAATGATGGTGTGCGATAGAAAAAGATCAAGAAGTGCCTGTCCACTTCAAGCACCAGTCTCAGTCCTTGCAAGTTCTTCTTCTACCCTTTCCTTCTCCATCAGCCCTGACTTCTTCATACAGAACCTCAGTTCCTACCTTGGTACCCAATCATGCGTTTTCTCACTGTCTAACTTTCCCTTGAGACTGATAGTGTTTTTTTGGTCTCCTCTTTGTGAAAATTCTAAATCTTGAATGAATTAATATGTTAGATTTCCCTATTTATCTCTAGATTTTTATTTTTTGCAGGTTAGTATCATTTCATTAAGAGTATTCCTTCATTTCTTTCCTTTTTTCATTGTGTTTAGCTTACTTGTACTCAAGCCCTTAGAGACATAAAGGTTTCTATGATTTTATCTTACTTTGGCATCGTTTTAAAATGTTTGTTTACTACATGCTAGGATAAGTTTACTTTAGAATATGCAACTTAGAACTTGGAATGACACATCACACCCAAACTCTCAGGGTTTAAGTTGCAAGTCAAGAAGCTAGAAGAAATTGTTAATGCTAGTGCTAACTGATCAAGCTAGTTTTTATTAGCAATTGAAGCTATATTATGCTACATCCTGTGAATTTAAACATCTTAGGAGCGTTTACAGAAAAACATTAACACTACTATATGTTAGCATTCTGCTAATAAACAATTGTTTCTACTTTTGTCACTTTGCGATCACAGGCAGCCAGGTTGGAAGTTTTAGTCAGTGATGCTAATGCTAACTGAACAAACTGCTTATTATTATTATTAAAGCTATATTACGCAACATTTTGGGGATTCAAATACTTTAGAAGTGTTGACAGTATTTAACACCACTGTGTCTTAGCAGAAGTGCTAATTAACATTTTCTGCTACTTTTGTCACTTTGTTTTCATAGGTAGGCATGTTTGTATTTATAGTTGGTGATGCTAGTGCTAACATGTGCTAGCTTAGTAAGTCAACGTCCACTGGTATTTCAGTTTTTTTTCCTACTTTGAACTTGGAAATACCAGCTTTAATACTCAAACTGTACGATGTGATTAATCTGATGGTTAGCTGGGTTTTAAAACTTTGCAGTCATGTTAATACTGAGAACAAAACACTGGGCCTTAAAGAGTTAGYATTTTGTACTTAAGTACCTTTTGTTAGTATTACATATATACAAGTGTTGCCTAATGAAACTCACACATCGTCTTTTGAAGGGTATGAACTTGCCCTCCACCTCAACCCAGCGTGTGTTGAGATGGAGTTGGCGGGGCTCCACTAGACTGGCGGCTCCAGCCTCTGAGAGCTGATTGGCTAAGCCCTGCAACTCCTTAAGCTCCTCCTTCTTCTTGACGAACTCTGAGCCAATTTCCTATTGGACAAAATCAACCGAAAAAGGTCACTTTGCTTATTTGGCTAGGACTCGGTTTGGGTGAAGCACACAGAGGCATGTGGATGTTGCTATAAACAAATTAAAATAAAAGAATACACATTTTTACACAAACACCAACTCATGAAGTGATAATAATACATGATTAAATTAAATAACAGCAACATATTCATGTATCCTCTAGCACACACTAAAACATTATTTAAAAGGAACCAAACATGATGTTTTCTCAACATCAAACAAACGTATCAGGTTACAGGAAAAACTGCTGTGAACAGAAGGAACACATGCCTCAAGACTTTATTTACACAGAGGAGTACAATCACTGGCCCATACAGAAGAGTGTGTGAACTGAGCATAAGCAGAGTGAGGTTTAAAGGAAGCAATACGCTGACGAGCAGACAGATGGCCGGACAGAAAGACAGACATATATATATGGAAAATCTTTGTCGTGGCAATGACAGGACAGAGCAGCACTCCTGCTTAGCGAAATGTCATAGTGATCATCTGAAAATGAAAGACATACAGAGTCAGTTGGAAAGGCAGGAAAAAACATGGGTTTGAAGTTTGTCTTTCTAAGACCAAAAGTTTTTAATCACTTCCAAAAAACAAACAACCCCCAAAATATTTATTAACTAACCTCGACTAAAGTTATGTTTTTGTAAAACACATGTTCTTCAAAACTATTTAATAGAAGTGGTGGGCACGGTTTCATTAATCCACTAAAAGCAAATAGTGATGCTAATCTTTGTTTAGCAGATTAGCATTTTTGCAAACTTCAGAATACTGTTAGCAGAATTAGCTTCTGCTCATTGACTGATAGATGCCTTTGTCCACTCAAACCCTTGTAATCTGGTCAGAAAGGTTGATTTTAGTCAGGGAAAACGTCCTAAAGCACTTTGGGTGATGTAGTTACTCAGTACACTCATATGGTTTTATTAAAATGGATTGATGGCTCTGAGGCAATACAGCTTTAATTATAGATCTTGAGAGTTAGCGTTAGCTTCTGCTAACTTTCTTACCTGCTTAGTTGTTTAGCGTTTGCAAAGCTAATTTCTTTAGTTAGCTAATTGACGGTTAGCAAAGCTAAGTTTTTGGTTTGCTGTGCCCACCACTGTTTATTAGCTTAGTATCCAGTAAAACAAAAACATACAATAAAACATCTTCAATGTCCCACCCAATAAATATATTACTTTCTATTCTTTCAATTGTTTCAACCTATGTTATGTYGGGGGTCGTGTTTTTTTGTGAAGCAAACAGTTGCAGCAACTTTTTGTCTGCACTAATCTGCAAAATCCCATCTCTATTTAAGTGTTTTATAATGATTGTATCATTTTGTAAAATGTCTTTTCAAACTGCTCAGTAGTCAAAGGACAAGCTTTTAGGAAGTCCTGCTCTCCACTAATCTGGATATTCTTTTAAACATTAGAGTTTTTCCATCAACAAAACAACAACAATGCTGAAATAAACAGTCTCATCAACTAACCGGTGAAAATGTCTACATTAACAATGTGTGATTGTTTATAAAGAACACTAAACATTGTGTTCCCACCATTTCTCATTGTTGGGGATTAAAGCCAACAGCACTCAGTTAATCAGAGTTGCCATCTTGGACTTTGGGAACAGAATCTGAGACGGCATCAGGAGACTTCAAGGCCTACTCCCCTGCAGAATCATGGTGCTTCAGGACCTTTCTTTGAAGCATGAAATAACTAATCAAAGCTAAAAATGTTTATGAATTATATTTGAACAAACAGCAGCAAGTTATTAACTATTTGAACCAATAGGAGTCAACACCTGAAAAAAGTTTGAGGTGCATTTTTATTTCTTAAGTCCTGTTCATTTACATGGAGGAGGCGGGAACTTGTACTGGGATCAGCTTATGGAGTCGCAGCCCCCTTGTGATTTCCTGTTGGACTTTGCAAATAATTGATGATTTGCTTGGCTAAAAATGTATAAAAAAGAATGCATGAATACTATGAGCCGCAAGGAAACTGTGGGATTCATTTAAAGGATCCCTGATTAGTTGTAACATTAGACTTTATTTGATAAACATTTATTTTAACTGTAAAATAAAGACTGTAAAAATGCTGTAGGCTGTTTAGTTTTGTAATTTTTTTTAAAAAACATGTTTTAACATGGACGGAGCCATTTTATTTACAAGCAAAGCATTCTGGGTAAATGATGACATCAACTAGGTCATCGGTGCGAGGC